ACACACTCTCACACACTCACACACACACACACTCACACTCACACACACACACACTGGACTAACACGCAATCCTTAAATAGATCTGAGTGGCGATCGATCAGCAGGACAGACACACGGTGAACACGCGTCTGATGATGACCACAGACAGAACAAACACGTCTGGTGTGTTTTTATGTGAGATCGTGCGTGTCTCGTCCTGACCGCTCGTGTGTGTTTGGATGGACGACAGCAGCTGGTCTTCACCGGTTAAAGTTAGCAGCGGCATCTGATCTGCACAGTCACAGTGCAGCCGGTTAAAGTCGAACGCTCCGCTGTTCTCTGACTCGGTGTTTCTGTGTGTCTTGCAGGTAATGCGATGGTCTCTGCGGCTCGTCCTGAGCTCCAGGTGCTTCGATCTCGCTCCCTCAGAAACGCCCCGCTGCCACCCGGCCAGTAGATTCTCGCCCGGCTCCCGCCACATAAACAGACAAGATTGCAAAGATCTGCCCCACATCGAGCATGACGGCCACCACCCGTGGCTCGCCCGCGGGGGGCAACGAGAGCCAGAGCCAAGCGCCAGACGGCCAGAACCAGACCCAAACCCTGCTGCCCCAGAACCAGGTGAGAGAGAGAAACACGGCCGCATGAGACGCCACAGCTCACGGGAAGAGCTTACTATCAGTCAAGTCAAGTGACGTTTATTTCTGCAGCGCTTTACACAATACAGAAATTAGTTCAGATTCTGCTGTAAAGTCAGTAGTGTCATTATTAAGGTAATTATTATATCATCTTACTGCATTAAAGTACAACACGCTGAAATGTTTTTGAGAAGCTCTTAAAGCAATTCATTAGTCAACCTACACACTAATCAGCTAGCCGTTGTTGAACAGTTAGTCAAGCACCCAACCAATTCTCATCAGTAGTTATTTACTAGACTCACTGATCAGTTAATGTGCATATTGCAGGGACCCAGCGAGTCAGTGTATAGAAAAATAATGTAGATTTTCTTTAAATATATACTTCTAAATTCGCTACTTGAGGCTTCTGGAGTCATTTTTGTGAGAAATTTTTACTTCCACATCTGAAAAGCACCAAAACCGGAAGTGACGTAAACAAGAGGGTCAATTTAAACTGTAGGAAAACAATGGATCGCAACGACAGTTCTGATGCTGAGGAAATTGTAAATGTTTATTCAGAGAGCAGGGACAGGCCTTTTATGATTAATGCAGATATTTGTGTGTGTGTGTGTATTCTGCAGTTCTAAAATATTTATTTAATGTTATACACAGTAATTGATACGCTTACATTTAGGCAGACCCTTAATTTTTTGAGGTGCATGACATAAACTTTTAGGTGCAAAAACATTTACAATTTCCTCAGCATCAGAACTGTCGTTGCGATCCATTGTTTTCCTACAGTTTAAATTGACCCTCTTGTTTACGTCACTTCCGGTTTTGGTGCTTTTCAGATGTGGAAGTAAAAATTTCTCACAAAAACC